CGATCGCCAGCTAACATGTATATATATCTCTATATATACTTTGCTCTTGGAATTAGTTGTATTTATTAAGTTTTTATGACATATTGCTTCTCTATTTTTTTTTTTTTTTTTTTTTTTTTTTTTTTAAATAAAAGCTGAGCGAACGACGGCAGGACAGCGGCTACAGTTGTCGCCTCGACTCTAAGGATCATCCCAAACAAATAATAAAGAATACTAAAGTTAAAAGAAAGTCCGAAATCAGTTAAATAACATTCTAAGTGGGACTATCCGCCTTGGAGCCGGCATTCGAATTGTCTTGCAGTTGAGCGAGTGTCTTGTACTTTTGCGAGTTTAGGAATCTGGGAAAATCAATATATTTATATAGTTCTCTTAGTTCGATTTATATAGAATATAAGTATTCTTTACCTGGGATATGAGTCTCTGTGCATCAGCGTATATATTTGTATTTGAGCTTCGTCAAAGGTGCGAGTCGTCGGCTCAATCATATTCCGATTGACAATCTCCCGCACTCGCGAATCGAGCGACACCTCACGCGGCGATAGTATCGATATATAGTCTTCATATATCAGGCGCGCCTTCTCCTCCACCACCTCGGGGCTGTTCTCCTTCTTCAGATCCTCGCAGGCTAACCAGAACAGTATGTTCTCCTCACTAAATTCGCTCCGTAGAAAATCACGAAAGACTTTGCGACCATCTGGAAAATATTTCAATACATTATCCAGATATACTTATATGCCTATATTTGTGACTTACTTGAATTCGTCATTAGTTTATCAAAGCTTTTACCCCAACTACGTATTTCTTCTAATGTGGGTCTGCAAGATAGTTGATAGATAGTGGACATCACAAGTTAGATCTATAAATTTGATACTTATAGAGATATGACTTACTGATCGCCATCTAGGAATTCGGCGCTAACGAGATCACGTTTGGTGGGCGCATTTTCATCCGCATTCTTGATGGCAAGACTGTAAATAAAAGGAAAATTAACCATTTATTAAACTTATGATAATAATGATATGAATTGCGAATGACAATTAGAGAAGTGGACTTTACATATTCACTCTATTGATATCTCCAATAGGAGCTATACTTTCTATAAAAATCTACTTAAATAGTAGCTCCATTTTCTCATTTAAAGCTTCTTTTTATCTGATATGATATGGTAAGTGACTAAAAAATATGATTTGTATATCTATTCCAAGCAGAACGTCATATTACCTTATCAAACCGTTTCTCTAGAAACCAAAAACCTATTGACTAAAGTCCTTTATCACCTTCATACATATGTACGTATACATACATTCATTATACAAAATTCATCTATATACTTATTTTGATTTTTGAATATTCAATACCTATAGATTATCTATAATTATTCAGCATGAGTTTTTTAATGGTATTTTTTAAGTACATTCGATGTATTCCATACGTACAGCAAACGCTTAGTTAAGCCAATCATTGTATGTTTTTCTTTTTGCTGCATTTAAAGCTTTTTCGTGTACAACTTTGAATCAGCTTAGAGCTTTTACTTAGTGTAACAGCGTTAAGGATCACCGATATGTGCAAGCTTTTGGCTACTTGAGAAACAGCTGTTGCGAGTATCTTTAACGGCTTGGCTTTTTCTGACTTTCGTTGACTCTTCTATAATTTGTTGTTGCCAGCACAGTGGTTAACTGTAAACTGGCCACACGTTATCTACGATTAGATTTGGCTGCCTCATATCAGGTAAGCATTACAAGCACCCTCTTTACGTAGGAACTCATCAAAGTTCGTTATCTGTTTACCGCTCTTGGACAGCTTGCCAATATAACATAGATACGTACGGCCATATGTATTACTGTATGTGTGAAAATGTGTGTGTGCGTATGCTTGTGTGCTCTTGTTCGTATGCGTGTAAGTACTTGGTATGATTAAATGCGTATAGATGGACAATAGCTAAGCACATAAAAGCGCGGGAGATGTGCCCACCCAACCAGGGAACGGAACAGCTTTCATTTTCATTCACGAAAACTTGCAACATTTTTGCAAAAACAACAATAGCAACATCATTAGAAACAGCTTGTCGTCATTTGTGTATGACTGTGATTTTTGAAAAATACTCTGCTCAGAGCTTTTGGCGCTCCCGCGAATTGTGAATGAAACATTTGTGTCATTTGGCTAGTGTGGAAGTGAGAGTGAAAGAGCATCAGCTGAAGAGAGAGCTTTTACTATTCGCCTGGCAAACAGAGCATTGCCAGCTGCGAATAATGATGAGAGCAGGCAAGCAATGCCCCTGACTGCGTGGGATTCACTGTGTGCGTGTTTTTTTCAGTAGGTGTATGTTTATTTGTATGTGTGTGTGTGTGTATATGTGTGTAGGTAGGAACTTACCATTTAGCCCTGTTGTTGTGGTTGGACGACCCGTGGAGCAGCGACAATGAAATAGATTCCGTTGAAATATACATACATACATATATATTGAGTGTGTGTGTGTGTGTGTACGTTACCTACATATTGTAGGAAACGGTTAAAGTGTGGATTATACTCACCAGGAGCAGGAACAACAACAGCACCAACAAAAGCAACACGGCTTCTGTGTTTGTGGCCGTTGCAGCGGCGCATTTGACTCCTGCAGCACATTCGATGTGGCGCTCACGCTGCCCTGCAGCGTTGTGCTGGTGCCCGTTGTGCCGCCGTTACCGCCCGCTGCGGTACTGCCAGCTCCAACACCGACGCTCTCCTTGCTGCCGTTCCCATTGCCATTGTTGGCCGCCGCCGCGGCCGCAGCTGCAGCTGCGCTCTGTGAGGATGCATTCATGCCGCGCAAGCGACAGCCGCTGGGCATTTCGGAAACGGTGCAGGACATGCTGGACAGAATATACAAATTGGAGTTGATATATTTCAATCATCCACACACACGAGCACATGCCACACTTACCTGCCCTTTGCAATTTACAGTTGATGTTGGCGTTTGGCGTTTGGCGTTGGCGTTGGCGTAGCTGCCACAGCTGCCGCTGCCGCTGGCGCTGGCGCTGCTGCTAGGCTGCCGCCCACTGCCACTGACCTACCTACAGTCCGTCTCGTTCTGCCTCTCCCACACACACATACACATACACGCTCGCAGAACAGTTGGGCTGCGCGTTGGCGTTGGGCGCCCTTTTCACAGTGACAGTCAGAGAGTGCGGAAGAGAATGAGAGAGGGAGCGAGAGTCCAGAGAGCAAGTTACGTATTTATGTTTTTGCTAATAACTTTTTATCGAGTGCTTTTGCTTGTGCTTTGGCTCTCGCGCCTTGCACGCTCTTGATTTTATTGCTGCTGCTCAGGCTGTTGTTTTTGTTTTTGTAGCTGTTGTTCTTCTTGTTGTTGTTCCTCTCCGAATTATTCTGTTTTTTTTTTTTTTTAGTTTTTACATGAATATGCTGAGAAATATTTGGTTCTGCCTTTCGGGCGCTGCTTCTGTTCCTTTGATTTTTTATCTGACCAGGCAAGTTGGCAAAGGGAGGATGAAAGAGAAGCACAGAAAACAGTTAGAATATCTATGTATTATTATTAATAATATTAGGATTTAGTGTGCTGTGCTGCTCTTGACATGTCCGTTGTTGCGCGCTCTGACTCTCGTGCGTGGGCAGGTGCTACAGATGGCACGGGAATAGCTGCGTAGAAGGGGGAGGGACTAAAGGGGGCACTGTTGGTGGGTGCACTAATTTATTGTTCTTGTAGTTCTTGTTGTTGCTACTGTTGGTATTTACAGCGAAATTAGTTTGTAATTAGGAGCAATTGAAACGGGAATTTTATATCATGTGTTATGAAATTCTTTTTATTTTTATTTGATTTCTCTTTTAGCATTTTCTTAGTTCCAGCGAGCAGCTGGAGATTTATTTGGAATTTTTTTTGTTATATTTATTTCTTGTGCTAGTCATTACACACACTCACAYACACAGACACATGGCACACGATGGCGGCAGCGAGGTCGCCTGACCGTTATTTTCTTCAATATTTATGTATGCGTGCGTACATATGTACATATCCATGTATGTATATGTAAGTACATATATATTTTTTTGATTTTCGTTATGGCTTGCGTTGGTTGGGGCTGATGGGGCGTATGCGTGATTAGCTAGCCTGGCTGCTGCTGATGTTGCCTGTTATTATTTTTGTTGTTGTTTGTTGTGCGTTGTAGCAGCTGCAGAGGGCAGAGCTGTTAATTGCACTTGATGCTGCTGCTTGTTTCTTAGCATTTAGCACACATACACACGCACGTTCACAGGGCAGCCGTTACATTTGCTAAAATATATATTGAACAATTTTCAATCGTGTGCGCTTCCGCTCACATTTATACAAACACATTCACACACACTCTCACACACTCACACTGACATACATTTTGATTTGATTTTGTTTTAGTTTGTGTGTCTGCTCAATGTATTTAGGAGCAACGAAATATATACAATTTCTTTTCTATTTTATTTTATTTTTTGCCACACTAAAAATATGTGTAGGTATTTTTCTTCATTCTTTCTTTTTGCTCTGAATGATTTTGCTTTGATTCAACTTCTACACAGAGAAAGAGAGCCAAGCAGAGAGAACGCGAGCTATATTCAAGGGAGTGGAAGGGGAACGGGCGAGGGCGCGAGGCTTCAGGAGTAAGCGAGAGAGTATGAGCAAGTAGTGCAATTTAGCTAGACACTCGTTATATTTGATGATTACATTCGTTAAATTGTTGGATTCTCATATTCCAATACTTTTCACATTTTTGGCATTTTTTTTATAGCTCCACAGTTGCCATATTTTATTTTTATTTATTTTTCATTTTCATTTTATTTTATTTTTTGAGAGGGGAGGGAGGGCTTTGGCTTTACCACATTATTGCCATTTCATTTTCACTGCTGCGCTTTTTTCTATACGTGTGTGAATTTCTTTGCTATTTTTTTTTTTTTTTTTTTTTTTTTTTTTTTTTTTTTTTTTTTTTTTTTTTTTGCGCGCTCTGATAGCCAAAACCCAAAATCCTCG